AAGAACTCAAATTCTTTAATAAACGAAGGCTTGTAGTCAAAGCACTCAAAGAGAGATCCGAGTTTGTACAAACTCATCCACCCTTTTCCTATTTTTTTTTTTTTTTTTTTTTTACATGTTTCATAGGAATAAAAAAAGGTTTCGCTTCTTGTGCATAAATTTATAATTAAATTATAAATATAAGTCAAGCAAGAGAACTGTTTAAGTTTACATTTATTTACAATACATTATTTATTATTGTTTAAGTTATCATTTTTTAAAAAAAGATTTTTATCTTACATTGTTCATCTCGTAATTAACATGTCAAATTGGCTGATCAATTACAAAACAAAATACTAAATCAAACGAATAAATAAAATAGAAAAAAAAAAAAAAAAAATATTTCTTTTTTTTTACATAATCAGCATTCTTTTCACAGCTGTTTATATAAAAGTACAATGCAATAGAATTTCAAAGCGTACCAGCTTTTTTTTTTTAAACTTTTCCACTGACTAAATGGTACGAAATACCAATGCAGTTTGAGTTAAAATAGCTGACGTAATTTTTTTGACATTTTTTTTTTGTATTTTTGTAACTAAATGCCCTCACAACAACCAAATTTGGAATATGGTAATCTATTTTTTTTTATATTGCTCAAATGCTTTTTATTAAAATTTACAATTTGACATTATTGTTTTGTTACAATTTGTGTTTCAGTGTTTATGTAACAATATGTACCAAAATGATTTTATTACCAACACACGAAACCCATCGTATACGAGTAGAATATAGGAAATAGACATTTTTTTTTTTTTTTTTTACAAACCTCAACAATTAAATTAAATATGCTAACTTTATTTGAAGGACATTAAATGATACTTAATTACTATATCTCCCACTGGCTCCTCTCGGCAAATCCAAATAGTCTAACTGAAAATAAGGTGGCGTCATAAAAAAAATGAGAGAAGTGACTAAATAACGACGAGAAAAGAAGGCTTTAAAAATAATAACTTTCCTTGGATATGCTTAGAGGCTTTCTACGTAATTTGCTAGAGATTTATGGTTTGAGGTGAAAAAACTTCGAACATATTCTCTAGTCAACAGTTTACTAAAATTAGTATAAAACAAATTTAACGAAAAAAAAAAAAAAAAGTACAAGATAATACGTTCGCCATGAAATTCATTTAGATACGCAAAACCACGTACGTAACGTCTGTGAGCAACACTTTGTCCTTATTTTACTTAGCACAATTAACGTTCAAATTACGCAAAGGAAATTCTTGTTAAAATTCAATTAAATAACAAATCTCATACGAGCTGCCTTGTAAAGGAAAAGTGAAAGACCATGTTTTTCTAAGAGAGTGGTAATTTAGGGGATTGCAACAAATGCAAACACGAGACATTTGACAAATGAAATAAGTGAGAAAAGTAAAACCAAGTCCATTGTTCTTAAATGCTAAGTTTCCAGCAAAACAGTCTTAAATTGCCATAATTTTCAAAATAAACAATACGAAGAATTAATACTTACTTGAATCATAAAAATTACAAATCACTTTTTTGAACAAGTCTTCATTTCAGAGATTTTTGTTTTTTTAGGAAGGTTAAGAATAAGATCTATTTTTAATTTTTAAGTCAGTTTCTAAAGTAAATACTTTGAAAAATTGTCTTCTTTTTCATTATAGTTTTGAATTATCTTCTACATACGTACAGTTAACAAAAAATTAGAGAAGCGCCGTCACTAGAGAAAAAGGGAATTTTCAAGTTGATAATTTTTTGTTATTGAATGTTAATAATAATATTTACAATTTTCGCTTATCCCTTTTCCTCAATGTCCGAAACAGATTGTACTTTACGAGTGATCTCCCTTTTCAGTTCCGATCTCTAATAATTTTTCACATTTACCAAAAATTAAATTTAAAATTTAATAAATAATTTATTAATGCTACAATAGGTTAACTTTCTAAATAAAAACCAGCGTTAGTAAATTTCAAATAATTATGTCACGCAATAAAACCAAATTGATGTCAGAATTAAATCTTAATCATTAGGGTGGGAAAAACATCCAGGTATTTTGCACGCGAGAGAATTAACATTTTTCTGTATTGTGCAACATGAGATTTTAAATGTAGGTTGGTGTTTTTACTAATAAAAACAAATGTTAATAACGTTAGAATTTGTTACTTAGTTAAAAAGCTGATGGAATTAAAATTTTTTGCAAGTAACTTAAAAAACAACAACTCAAACAGTACAAAAATGTCAGTTTCAAGTTTCCGCTTCCTAAAATTATTTTCATACTATTTTGAAATGTATTTTTTACGTCTGTACAATTATTGTACACTGTAACCCGGATATAAGAGAGTTGTCGGGACCGGGGAAGAAGTCTCTTATATCCGGGTTTGGTCTATTTTGTTTTGGTAAGTATGGGAACACTTCATAACGCTTTTTACGTACAGAACACTAGTTTATTTAACAGTTACATAAAAAAACACAGACAAAAACACATTTTCAATCAGTTTTCAAAATAATTCAATCAAAAATTACTTTTTCTTAAAAAAGTCAGTCATTTTTGATTTTGATTGTACAGAAATCTCTTTGTTAGTTAACATCATAAACACTTTCATACAGTCCGTAAATCATTTTCAATGCGCCATCAGGATTACTGCTTTTTGCTTCAAAGTAGGCTGTCAGAGTTTCAAGCGCATTCAATGCAGCCAGAGAATTTGGCACTGGTTTGTCACTTTCAGAAACTTCAGAACTTACGCTTTCAGCTGACGTTGATTCGCCGTGAAATTTTTTGAACGAAACGATACTGGCCTGCTTCCAGCGCATGAGCCAGCCATTGCTCGGTTCAAAATCAACTTCAAGATTTACGGCCAGTTGTGATGCTTTCTGCCTGATGACGTGATCGGTGACGGTAGCTCCATGAGCACATGCTTGCGTAAACCATTGTGTAAGCGCTTCGTTAACATCCTTGTGCACGGATTGGCGCTTTCGTTTGCGATTAGTGTTTCTGTTCATTTGCATGCAAGATCTGAGATCGTCTTCTCTCTTGAGAATTTTTGCTGCTGTTGAATAACCGATTCCGTACTTTTTGGCTGCAGCGGCCAGTTTGAGTTTCTTCACTTTGACATCGTCGATGAGCTCCAACTGTTCAGAAATGCTCAGAGTTTTTCGTTGAGACGCCGACATCACTAATCGCAATGATCGCAAGCAAACGGTTTTCACTGGCAAAATTAATAAACAGACAAACTTCTGACTCAACAGAACAGTGGGTAAAGTTAAAGTGAAAGTGCTGTCCAGTAAATGCAACGACAAGCAAAGTCTGCAAAAAAACGGGCGGCGCTACCCTTAGACACATAGCAAAATCATAAGATAGAGAGGGTGTCTCCTACAGACACAGATTGGAGTTGGACACACCGTGTCTCTAGAGACTAGTCAAGATTAAGTCATTGAACTTCACTTTCTCTCTAACTGACTTCTGTTTGACCGATTTACGACATCACACTGTCACTCAAAGTCAAAACGAACTCTTTTATCGGGGAGGACGGGACCAGAGAAAATCTCTCTTATATCCGGGTTACACTGTAACTTTACTGATCAGGAACAATAATAGCATTCAATATAGCTGAAATACATTATTTTTAAAATAAAAGAAAAAGACTGATCAATGACATTATTTTTATGATATCGTCAATTCTTTTCGGTGCCGACAACTTTTTCGGATAAAAATACTTTGAGTTTGATCGATTGTGTATCCCCCCACCCAAAATGGCTGTGTTTAAAATGCATTATTAGTACAAACAGTATTTTTTTTTTAAAAAAAAAAAAAAATAAATAAATTTTAAAAACCAGTATTGCTTCACAGAATAAATCGACAGAGAGTGAATGTCAATAAATAAAAAAAAAATATGGCCATAACTAAGAAAACAACTAATTTTATGCTGCAAAAAAACTTGTACTTTACGACATGCGTAAAAAAAGACTTGTATTACGAACGGAATATTTGTCATGTTTGTACTAAGTGATAGAAAAAATAAGCGACAATGAGAAACGAAAATTAAAAAAAAAAACTGAGGATTAAGATTAATTATTGTTTTTGTGTAGGGTTACACTACATTTACTATTACAAGAAATACTTTTTGAATGTAGAAGTACGAAATTTAAAATTAGCAACAGAAAATATATTGTTCAATATAACAAGTCCACTAATCAACTGGTAGTATGAAATTAAACAAATCAATCACCTTGATAATGGCTAACCTCCAAGGATTACCTGCTGAAACTAAAACAGTTCTACTTAATCAAAATGATGCAATGCATCGAGAATTTTTAGGCGGAGATCCTTTATTGTAAATCTGCCTACAGCCATGGATTAAATAAAAAGTACGATTAAGAACGGATAAATGATGATTATTTTCAAAATCACGCGTGATGCGAACGCAAGATTTTTTTTTATCACTTAGTTATTGTTTAGTTAACTTTATTTTTTGATAATGATTATATACTGACATTATTCATAAGTGAAGTATAATACCACAAAATAATTGTTAAGTGCAGTTTAAAACAAAACCTAAATCCCTGATATTTGAAAATATACAGCAAAAAAAGAAAACATGGAAAATAAACCTGCACTGCAGCCACCCTCACTAAGTTAAAAACCTCTTTAAGTGAATTATTATTAAAAGTCATTTATTAAAATAAGTAAAAAAATAATGTTTTTGTAAACGGGAAATTGACTTTAAAACAACATAAAAAATATGTCAACTAGTCTACCATTCCTCATGCACCGAAGAAAAAAAAAAAGGAAGGGTAGTCGTTCCACCGAGAACTAAATGGTTTCTTTTGCAAAATGACGGTGTCACATTTACGTAGGGATGCAGAATCAACACCGATTTTGTGGGCAATAATGTAAGTGACACCGTTGCCAAGTTAATGTTAGTTACCAACTGATAAACTTTTCAGTTGTATGAGACAGTATTTACTTTTGGTTTGGTAAATGACTAACCTTTTTTCAAGTTTTCATGGATGGAGATAATAAAGAGGAAGCACTGCAACAAATTACTTTTTTCATTGTTAAATATTTAGGTAAGAAGCTTCTTTGTTTCAGTGATTCACTTAAAATATATTATCTCTTTTTTTATTTTTTTGATAGATTAAAAAAATGTATTATGGTTCGGAAGAAGAAAAACAATTGAGATGAGGAAGAATTTTGGATATTTATTTTTCATTCCCTTCAATAATAATTTCGGTTTTTACTTCATGACTGGGAAATTGAGATGAAAACTAACGAAACTTATGAAAGAAAAATGAATTATAGCTGCCAAATTGAATTCGGTCGGGTAGTTTCATACAACTCTTTCGCAAACTTCGTATTTTTTCGCTATTATTCGAAACTTAAACGACACTTTCATTTGAATTTATAAAATCATTTTATGCCCTTTTATGAAAACCAAATATTTGTCCTTAAAAGGCTTTTAAGGACAAATATTCTTAAAATGTATACATTTTTTTTATTTAAACTTTACTTAACCTTATCTCTGCCTAAGCTTTTAAAAATCATCTATTCTTTATTTAAAAACACTTCATAATCCCACTAAATTACTAACTGGTTGTTCACTCTATTCTGATTTTAATTTCAGTTTTTTTTTCTCAACCAAATACAATTGAATACAGGTCTTTTACATTTTATTTTATACAAGTGGAATTCTATATTTTAACTTTCTTTAGTCTATTGTAAAATTCCACCTATCCACGAAATTTCTTTTTAAGCAAAAGAGCACTTTTTAAAATAAAAACTAAAGTCTTTTAAACACTTACTTTTCTTTTTTTTAGTTCAATTTTGGAACGTAGTCGAAAATCAGTTTTTAAAATTTAAAAAACCCGAATCATATCATTTGCTAAAAGTAAAACCCTAATTAAAACATTATTTACTGAGACTCTGGCTTTAGTTGTCCTTAAAAAAAAACAAAAAAACTTTCAATGACTGAATTTTTATGCACTTCAGCTTTTTTGGTATCTAGGCTAGGTACTTGATAAAGAATTGCAAATTGGATTGATATTTGATAGTGTACTAACTACTCTACTGTAGTTAGAATTTTTTTTTACATTTAAGTTGTGTAAATAAATATGTTTCTTTTTTCTTTTCTTTTTTTAACTATTTAAATATCAAAACAAAACCAAATTTAAAATAACTAAATTTCTAAGTTTTTCTCCTTTTGCATCTAAGTGTGTGACTGAATCCGGATAAGAGATTTTCTCTGGTCCCAAATTGTTATTGTAAACAAAATAGACCAAACCCGGATATAAGAGACTTCTTCTCCTGTCCCGACAACTCTCTTATATCCGGGTTACACTGTATTTTCAACTCCTGTACGTGTAGGATTCCCATTTCTTTTTTAAACAAACCTGTCAGTGTCATATACCTTCTAAGTGGGCGTGTATAAATAAATATTGTTAATTTTAAAAGTAATCTGCTTGTATTTTTCAGTTAATTCAACTCAATAACCAAAAATGCTGCTGACTAATTTATGTTTTTGTTTTATGTCGTATAAAAAGTGTACATGTAGATCATTTCTAATGATTTTAATTTAATTATTGAATGAAATGCATTGAAAATTAGGAAAAATGGGAATTGTTATTAATCAAACCAAGTATCAGTGACAGAAGTTATATATATTAATTAAATAAAGTAGTGTTCATCACAGGAGACAGTGTATATGTGTGTATATATATATATATATATATATATATATATATACATATAGTTTTATGGGTTAAAGTACTCAATATCAGGGATAAAGTGTAAAAGTGGACATTGAAGTCAACACCCAGGCATGATATTCTTTTTCTAGATTGAAATGCAATCATCAATCCATGAGCCAATGAAAATCAAAGCAGCACTTTTGAAGCAGATCTCTAGAGATATATGTAACTAGATTGAAAATCAAACAAAACCAGAATCAATAAATAAATATTGTACATTCTCTGATGCTGTGGTCAGCGTAACATAACCAAATGTGATCAGTTGGTGATGGCTAAATCATCATTCTATATTTAAAAGTATGCACCCTTTTCTTTCTCCACCTTTGCTAAACGGGCAACTACTACATTTGAATACAATACATATAATTATTTCCTCTGAAACTCTTTCTCTTTCTTGTATGCACCAGAACTTTCATACTTGAACTCTTGAAATTTTAACTTTCACATTATCCTTCTGTATTATGTGTTATATAAAGATTTATTTTGTATTTATCAACACTGTGCATTTTCTTTTAATCTTTACACAAAGCCAACATACACCCAAACCAAATATAGCAATATATGATGGGAACAGATGTCATAAGATAACCTCCACAAACTCACCATGAGTAACTTGTTGGAGCAAGATAAAATATTTTGAGGCAAGTGAAAACAATTTCTATTTTTGTGTAGCTTATTATACAACTGAAAATTTTACTGTATTCAAAATCTTTTTTCCAGAAAGTAAAATTGGTATTTGCAATGTGAAATTACAGCAACGTCCTCCAGTTACAATTGATGATCTTTTGTCTTGGGAGCAGGTAAGTACAAACTCTCCTTCAAATTATTTACTTTTTTATATAGTTATTATATGTACAGTTTATCTTTATTTATATTATGAAATATCTATTTTATCAGAAAATTATATAAATAAAAATGGCCTATTTTTGTTATGCAATATATAAAATTTAATAGCAAAAGCTAAATGTATTATATAGCACCAGTTGTTAGTCATGTGAATTGCACTTAGCTAAAGAGAAGTTATTCCATTTAAATTATTGTTAATTGCTTTAAAAATAGCCTTCATTTGAAAAATAAATATACTAAATTAGGTTCATTTTTCTATTCAAATCAAAAAAGTGTATGAGAAATGAGATATATCTCAACCAGTTGTGAAATTTAGTGCTTATAAAAGCTCATCTAATACCTTTATATTGGACATTCATCTAGATTGAAATATTTATAAAATACATTGTCTATTCTGAAATGATCCAGTTATTTAATACTAACAAAAAATATCCTACCAAAGGCAATGATGTCTTCCTTGGAACCTCATTCACTTACCCATTACCCATTCAAACAGACTGTAAAGTCTTCTTTAGGAATTGGCATCAGTTGCCTAATTGTGGTCTTAATTTTATAATGGTCTGAAATCTCTTCCCTTTCAGTGGTGATTTTTAGCTTTGTGAAAAGCCCAGATTTGCAGGGAGTCAAATTTAGACTGGTGTTGTAGATAGCTAACAGACTTGGATGATGCAGTGTTTTACAAGAAATCTCTGCTCAAGACATAAAGAATTGTTGTTCAAAATAGCTGGATACTTTTTAGTCATTCCATATAATCTCTATTTTTTTTTTCCAATTCACACACAATTAACTACTTATTTCTTTTGATTGCAGTTTGTATACATTCAATATTTTTGGATATTATGCTCATAGGAATGCTTCCAGAATGTGAATTACTTTGAACAGATTCCCAGTCATGTTTGAAGCTTTGGCACCAATATTTTATCTGGGCTAAGCTCACTGAATCATTCCCAAAAGCCTTCTGAAACAGTCAAACAGTTTTCACAAATTAATGTCCAACTTTCAAGCATAAATGTAATACATGAATAGAAGACACTATCTCTACCTACAGTAGATTGCACAAGTCACATGACTTAAGAATTTTCAGTCATTGTACATTTTTATAAGGACAGCACATCACCAGGAGTGGTCCAGGCTGCTGGGGATAAGTGTTTTTATTGAATCATCTCTATATAGATTGTCAACCAAAGTTGAAGATCTATCTGCCTATTAGCACAACCAGTGACATCTTCCAAACAGTTTTGTCTATCAAATTTCACTCAAAAGTCTTGGGTCAACCCACAGTTTGATTTTTAACACTTCCTAATTGTGCTGCATGTTGAAATTGGCTCCTCAGGATAGTATCAATAAGTCAGTTTCTAGAATAATTGATCATTAAAACCAGGTCTCCTGGTAAGAATATCAATACTGTAACCATTCTCACACACTTGCCCACCATGATGCATATTTTTTGTGAATATAGCTATCATGCAATATATAGATTTGTAGTGACAAAAAATAAAAAAAAGGAGCTTATCTTTGGATAACATCCTTAATCAAAATATACACCAATTTTTGCCTTTTAAAAATCCATACAAAGATATAAATTGTGTTACAAAAATCTGTTCATTTTTATACAGAGAGTTACTGAAATGTTCTTAACCCAAGTAAGAAGTTCTTACTAAAAAACTTCTGACCACTGATAATCCCTTTCTTTTAGATTTGTGATGAATAACATATAGATTGAATGCTAAAACTTGCTCAAAAGATATTTTAGGTGAATAATTATAAAAAAAAAACTGTTTAATTCATCATTTGACTTTTAAACACTAATGTTACTGTTGTATTGTTCTATAACATGTGATCAGTATTCAACTTCTTGCTTCTCATAGTTTACTATAAAATTTATCTCTTTTACCTAACATATACAAATAGGTACAATCCTATTTACTAATCCATTACACTTCCTTGAATCAAAGAGGTTTAATGCCTTTAATGGAAATCTTATTTGTCTACCCATTAATGCAGATGGGCTTTGCAATCTGTTTGCGTGTGGAATCATCCTATAACTAAGCAGTAACCTTGATAAGTAACTGTCTATAGTATCTCTACTTGGGAAAAATTGTTTTTAATCCAACTTTTACTGTTTGCACTATTCTTTCCACAATCCCATTACATTGTGGGCAATATGGTAGTGTTTTGTAAGGGAAGCAGCCAATCCACCTCAACCAATTACATAAATCTTCATCACAAAATTCTGATTTGTTTGATACCAATATTTTAGGGACCCCATTTGTAGAAAACACCACTCTTAGTATTTGTTTTAATTTAGTCATTTTCTATTCTTAGCTTTAACAACTTCAGGCCACACCAAAAAGCAGTTTACTAAAATTAGAAATAGTCCCATGCCATTAATGTGTGTCTGGTCCATATGAACATGAGACCATGGTTCCGTTTCTTTAGGCTATGAGTGTAGTATCTTTTGTCAAAAATTCTTTATTTCTGCACATTTTGGACATTTGTGTACATATCTTTCTACATTGTGATAATACCCTGGCCACCATGCCTCCAGTTTTAATCTCCTCTGCATAGCCATTATCCCACAATGCACATCATCATGCACATTTTTTAAAATGTCTTTTCTTACTGTTTCTGGTGACACTATCACATATCCATTGCATATAACACCATTTTACATCATTCATTTATGCCTCATTTCTTTATAAGGTCTTTTAGATTTGGAACAATTACTCCAGTTGTTTCTTTACATTCTTTGTTTAAATTTCAACCCAATGTAATATTTCTTCATCAAGGATTTCTATTTTTTCTTTTTTATTCTTATTAAATTGTAACCTTGATGGCACATCAACATGTGGTACTGTATTTCCTTTTACATACACAATGTCAAGTAACTTTTGGTATCTTATTTCTAGGGTTAAAAATAAACTGTAGAGGTTTATGGTCTGACTTTAATAGGAACTTCTTTCCTCATAAGAATTGTCGAGCTTTGTCTGTGTTCCAGACAATGGCTAATGCCTCTTTTTCAGTATTTGAATCTGCCTCTGTCAATCTTCTTGAAAGGTACATTATTGGATGACCTTTTTGTGATAAAATTGCTGACACAGCTCACTCACTTGCATCCATAGTTAACAGAACCTCCTTTCTAGGATCAAAGATTTTTACAATGGGTTTTTCAGTGAGTATCCGTTTTAAATCCTTGAATGCTAAGATTTTCCTTTGAGTCCATTTCAACTTACTATCCTTTTGCCCCAGTTCAGCAAAGGGTTCTATTAAGTTGCTGTATTTTGGTAGGTATCTATTATAAAAATTAACCTAAGGATTCTAATTCTTTTTTATTAGTAGGTATAGATGCCTCTGAAATTTTCTTAATTAACTTTGGATCTGTTCTAATGCCATCTTTTGAAATTTGGTACCATAAATATAACAATCAGATTCACATTTGTCTCTGTTTACTGTTATCCCTGCATTTTTTAATTTGTTTAAAACCTGTTTTTTGTCTTAATTCATCTTTAGTGACAGCACCATGATAAATATCATTTTGATAAATAATCATATTGCAATTTTGTCAGTTAACATATTTTCCATTGCTCTCTAAAAAAATGGCGCTTAGCGTTTTCCACAGCTGTTTGAGGTTTCCTATAGCCCCACTGAACTTAAATAAAGTCAATTCAGGTTTGCTATGGTAAAAACTTTCTATCCCAAGTAAAAATCATCACAAAAATGGCAATTCATTTTGCCACAGCTTATTTTCTCTGAAAAAATGGATATCATACTTTTATAGGGGGTAAAATATTGGAAAATGACTGTTTTATCATCATCTAAACAAATATCAAGGAAACTTTTGATCTGAACCCCATGAAACTAGGTATTTTCTGAAAGCAAAGGATATATTGTTTCATTTAAAAGTAAAACTGGCTGGTGTCAATGACTCAAAATTTTTTTTTTTCAGTGGGTAAAATGTGAAAAAATAGTGAAAATTTTGCCTTTTTTCTAGTTCTAAACAAAAATTTTCCCCATTAATGAGAAATTAACCATTTTTTTTTTTTTTTTTTTTTGAAAATTAGAAAGCCTAAATCATAATCAAACTATTTCAGGCATAAAATTGAGTGCTTTGAAGAAAATTAACATTCCTAGGGGGTCAAAATGTGACAAAATCCATTGGTAATTTTTAATTATATGACACACGGCAACGGAAATCTTTAGTAAAAGACGAAAGATTTATCTGCAATTCCTGACCACCAGAAATCAAAAGTTTGTTTTTTTTTCCAGAAAATAGCAGTGATAAGGAAAATTAAACCAAATTGACTTTGACATGTCTGCGTCAAAAGTCAGCCAGCTAGCCAGCAATAAACGTTGTTGTCAGCTTGTAAAACCCACCACTCCCAGATAAGAGCAAAGAGTGAAAAACAAAAGGGGTCAACATTGATAGGGCTTGATATAAGATTTGTTTTTTTTTTTTTTTGTTTTTTTTTTCAAAGCTATGTTTGAACAATGGCTTGATGTGTTTTGTTTTGTCTTGGGTGATGACAACAACACTTAGCAGACGACATTGTTTTTTTCGCTACATGTCTTTTGTATTTCCCATTGCTGGGCCATTTAACCCTTCCTTTTATTCAATGATGTTCACACCAAATTAAGGAGAAGGGGACAAAGTTTGAATGATATTATTTTGAAGCGAAAATAAATATTTTTTCATAAAAAAAAAGGTGATTTTTGTCAGAAAATTGGGTATAATTTCTTAATGCCACAACCAAATCAGATTAATTATCAGTGAATAATTCAATGTGCAAACAATAGCCAGCTGGATCCTATAACACCGCCCGAAAAGGTCCAGAAGTTTACTGATTGATCGAAAATTTGTTGCACATAATTGTGTTTTTCACGGTCAGATTCCATTATTTCATCTTGATGTTGTCATTTTCGAACAGCCAAATCATCAAGAACTCAGGAAAACAGT